CGATAGCTTTTGTATGTGTTGGCAATTCGACTAACTCCCATGTGTTGTTTCTTTCGATTGCATGTAACTCTTCGACCATAGCTAACTTCCACTTGTTAATCTTCAAAGCTTCATTATAGTTGATTGGTTCAACACCTGCAAGTAAAGCAAAATGAACTAATTCTCCATCTGGTGTGATTTCATCATCACCCATCACTTCATAATCATGAAGTCTCGTTGGAATAACTATATTTCTTTGAGGTCTTTGGCTTGTTTCAGCCACAACCTCTTCGACTTCGACTGTGACGGGAGTGTCAGCAACCGCTTCTTCTTCGACTTCGACTGGATTCTTAACAATTCCTTCGACCTCTACTTCATTAGTTTCTTCGTCGAAATCAAAGTTCATTAATGATTTGTTAATTGAATTGCTAGAGTTCCAATCCCAGACAGAATTTTCATTAATCACAATATCTCGACTCAACACAATCTTTTCATTAACTGGATTGAATAGTCTGTATGCACCAGTTTTATGATATCCTACCAGAATCATAGGTTCACTCTTCTCATCAAGCTTCCTTCTCCTTGCACCAGGAACATGCTTGTAACACATAGAGCCAAACACCTTCAAGTGACTTACTGATGGTCGTTTGCCACTCCACACTCCTTCAGGAACCTTGTTCTTCAATATCTTAGTAGGATACCTATTCAAAATATAAACTGCAGTAGAAACAGCTTCTCCCCATAAAGATTTTGGAAAATTCTTTTGCTTCAGCATGCATCTTGCCATATCTAATATGGTTCTATTTCTTCTTTCAGCAATTCCATTATGTTGAGGTGTGTAAGGAGCAGTTACCTCATGATCAACACCATGTTCTACACAGAAATCTTCAAACATCTTGGATGTGTATTCGCCACCTTCATCTGTTCATAGAACTCTGATCTTCTTCTCACTCTGGTTTTCGACAAGTATCTTGAATCTCTTAAAGATTTCGAATACTTCGTCCTTTCATTTGATCACATAGATCCACAACTTTCGACTAAACTCATCGACAAAGGAAACAAAATATCTGTTTCCACCAATTGTATGTTCTTCAAATACACCACATACATTTGAATGCACCACTTCGAGAATGCAGGATGATCTCATTGACATAGTCGAAACGAAAGAATTTCTAGATTGCTTTCCCACTAAACAACCTTCACAAAGTTTTTCAGGCATCTCAAGACTTGGAATACCAGTAACCATATCTTGAGTAATCAGTTGATTAAGTGATCGAAAATTCAAATGTCTAAACCTTAAATGCCACAACCAACTATCCTTGTGGTCGAAAACAATTTTCAAACATTAAACTTCTGTCGAACTGATCATAGTCTTAAATGTCCTGTTCTTCGACAATGGAGATTTTAAAACCAAATTGTTCTTAGTGTCGCACAATTTCAAAACTCCATCTTTCATGACAACTGAGAAACCTTTTTCAACTAGTTGTCCAACACTTAACAAGTTGCATTTCATTCCAGGTACATAGAGCACATCTTTGATCATAGCTTTCCCTCCATTATTCATTTGAAAGACTATGTTGCCAGTATCTTCTGCTTGCAACGAACTATTATCAGCAAGTTTTACCTTGATCTTCTTCGACTCGTCAAAATCTGCCAACCACTCCTTTCAACCAGTCATGTGGTTCGAGCAACCTGAGTCGAGAAATCAGAAATTAGATTCAACATGGTTATCTGCAACTGCAGCCATAACCATCATACCACCTTCAGAATCATCTGAATCTTGGCGTGCAAGATTCGCTCCTTCGTCCTTGCCTTTTGATCCCTTGTCTTTTCTGTACCAACAATTCTTGGCCAAGTGTCCCCACTTTTCACAATTATAACATTGCATGCCTATCTTATCTTCTTTGTCCTTTCGATAGTTTCCTCCTCCCCTTTTCGAGGATTCGGAAGATCTATCTTTGACCTTATTCTTATGGGAATTCGACCAAGACTTCTTGCCATGAGTCTTGTCGAATTTGCCTTTGAATTTGTTGGAACCACCATCTTTTTTCCATGATTGAGCTTTCAGTGCCTGTATCGAGTCCTGAACTCCTTTCCTTTCGACAATCCTCATCTCATGCGCCTCCAACGAACCAACCAAATCTTCCACTTTAGTGGTTTCAAGATTGTTGGATTCTTGAATAGCTACGATAATGTGATCAAAGTGATAGGTCAACGTTCTCATTACCTTCTCAACTATCATCTTATCAGTAATGGTTTCACCACAATCCTTCATGAGATGGATGAGTTTCTGAACCTTCGACATATATTCTGCAACTTTTTCATCTCCTCCCATCGACAACAACTCATATTATCGACGCAAGCTTTGTAATTTGACAACCTTGACTTTCTCACCTCCTTCGAAATACTTTACCAGAATATCCCATGCCTCCTTCGCTGTTTCAGCATGAGAGATTCTGTCGAAGTTAGCAGCATCGACATCCGTTTGAATGCAATAAGCAGCCTTACAATCTTTTTTCTTGACTTCGTTGTGGGTTTTTTTCCTGTTCGTCGGTTGCATTTGTAGCCAATTCCGGAACATCGTCGGTAACCACTTCTAGGGTTTCATGGAAGCCAAATAAGGATTGCATCTGTTTTTTTCATTAGATCCAATTTTTACCGTCAAGCATTGGAAGAGAATTTGGAATGCCCTTATCACTAGCCATCTTCGCAGCGATTGATTTACTTGCCCTAGAAAAACGATCTCTGACGTGAAATTCTTGAAAACTTGATCAAGAACAATAACCAGAAGCTCTGATACCAATTTGTTAGTGTGTGAGGCACTTTTAGTGAGGAGAGAAAGAGAGAATAATAAAGGAAATAAGGATTTGTATTATTCAAGTGTATAAATAATGATACACACTATGACTATTTATATACAATCCTAATTGGGTTTTGGCTAACACAACTTGGATTATATTAAATATTAAATCTAATCAAATCTAATTTAATCTAATTTAATATTTCAACAGCAATTTCTTTGGTTTTAAGGTATTTGAGAGAAATTGTTAAGGACCGACAAAGAAAATAGCAGTTTGGTTGTTGGATCAGATTGACATGCTATTTTCTTTCCACACTACACGTTGATGATTAGTTGACGGAGCCCGTAGTATTTGTAACCACTGAAGGTTTTATGTTGATGAATGATATAACAATCGTCGTGATTCAATAGTGTTTGACTTTTGTTGGATGAAGTCATATTCAGAAACTGCACCTGAAATCATGCATTTCCTTAAAATGTGTCCGCATTTTAAGAAATTAGTCATTAACCCAAGAGTCGTTTTAAAAATGTGTTTTGAAATAAAAATCATACAATTGATTTTGCCCAAGTGGGAGAATGTTAGAATTATCTAACTTTTATATCAATTGTTATTTAGTTTGTGAAAAACGGGTTAATCGTGATTCTGATGGGGGTGCATATATAAGTCCTTTTATTAGTCAAGTGATCTATTTTAATTAAAGGTTGAGTGTCTAATACTTGATTGATGTGGGCAAAAGTGTGGGCTTTAACCCTGAGTCTATAATGGTTATATATATATATATATATATATATATATATATATATATATATATATATATATATATATATATATATATATATATATATATATATATATATATATATATATATATATATATATATATTATGGCTAGGTTCCCTTTGTTATCATGAAATCAGAAATATAACCGACGACTCTACAACTTGTCTCATTGAGAGTTGTGAAACAGGGGTGTGAGATATAAAGGAAGAGCCGGTCGTTCATCTATTCATGATTCGAATCAAGGTTACAATAACGACAACCCTCGTTCTCTAATCTTAACATCCATGCATATCTTCAATAATTCATCACAATTGAATTACCACACAATTACACATGCTTGCATATATTTATGAATCATCCACATACAATTTATATTCATTTACAACAATCATATGCAATTAAGACCATTTTTATTGAAAAGAATGTCGCGTTAGCTTTCTAACACTTCGAATAGGGACTCAAACAGAACTAATTCAAAAGTTATGAATTTTTGAAGTTTTACAAAAAAATCCTACATTTTTCAGCAATTTTCCTTACGGGAATTTCACTCCAGACATTCATCTATTCAGGATTCGAATCAAAGTTACAATAACACAATCCTCATTCTCAAATCATGTCTACAACAAATAAGTATTGATGTTCTAATTTCATATAATTGATCTACGAAATTATTCCGCTTACACATAGTAGATGAGAAATACCCTAATACACTATCTTTCTCTATATTTGTCCTCTCTTTTTTTTCATCTAATGAATGAAATTGGTTATTGTCATAAAAAAAAAGTTACGTTAAGTGATTGGGTTTATCAAGAAACAATAATAAGTAATCTTGAGAAAATATCTATTTTCATAGTCGTCCTATATGTAGAGACAAATTGATGACTAACCCTTAAAATTAAAATTAAAATTAAAATTAAAAACAAAATTATGACAAATAAATGGTATTTGTAGCAAACTTTCCTTATCTCTCACCTGGAATGCTTACAACCAAAAGATAATAAACCGTAACACTTAGAAAGAAGTGAAGCTAATAAAGAGAGAAAAAATAGAAACTAGATGGTTGGTTGACCAAGCTATTTGATCTACTAGTCCATTTTATTTTGAAGACCAGGGTCATTGGAATTTATTGCATCATGGTTTTAGAACTGAATTGGAATAACTTCGATAGGCTTCAAAGAGGTTAGAACCAGTGTTCTAGTTTTAAGATAGTTCAAAAAAGGTTGAAAAACTAAATAAGGATAGTCGATGATGTTTGCTAGGATCATAAGAGAAAGTTGATCTGATTGACATGCCAATTTTCATGCTGCATTCTACACTAATGACTAGTTAATGTAATAAGTGATTAACCATGGTAGATTAGAATCTATATCTTTAAGAAATACTTAACAAGAATGGAAGAATCAAACAACAAAATAAATTAAAAGAGAGCATAATAAACATTTATCTATCTTCTACTTTTTTTTCATCTATTCTTATTTGCATATCAAATGCATGAGAATGTAAAAGGTAATCTTTTTCTTTTTCTTGTGTCATTGGAAAAACTTTGGCCTTAGAAAACTTTCTTTGAATAATTCTCTGTTGTTGCACAACCAAAATAGAAGTCTTGGTTTCGAAATCGGGAGAAGAAAGCATGTCTCCAATGACTCCTAATTCAGGACACTCACTCCATTCCTCATACCCTTGAAGCAAAGCTGATTTTGCATGCTCCTTTCCTACCATAACCAAATCAAAAGAATCTATCCGTTTTTTAATTCTCTTGGACATTTCTATTCCGTCTTTTATAACTTCATCAACCGTCTTAAACCTACGGTTTGCCTTATTTATGTTTCGATATTCGCCAATCATATCGCCCTCGCGCCTCCTTTCTTTAGAATTTTCCAATCCATATTCTAGAAACCGAATCACGGTAACTTTCACGCTCTCATGCCTGCACATTCTTGAACTATAGGCTAGTGCTTCTATATCATCTGGACCTCCAATGAAGAACACGCCGACCTGGTATGATGACGGCGTTGTAGACTTTGAAAACAGTGGTTTGGTATTGTTTGCACTTCTATCAACTAGGATTCCGACAGAACATGGCGCCGTGTTTAGAACTTTAATGTTCATGTATTGAATTGATTTGTTTGTTACTTCAACACTTCCATCAATCTCCCATTGCTTATGAAAAGGAAGAATCAAAATGTTGGCAATTCTGTCGATTGCTATCCGACAAACATCATCATTCATGGTTTCTAAATTCGAGACCGAAGTAAACAATTCAACTGTTGCATACCCTTTATTCTGTTCTATATATTGGTAAAATGCATGATTGACTTGTTTTGAATTTGACGAGGTGCACCTTAGGATATCGTGCGGTTGATGCGCGACAAGAAGTGGTCTTGATCTTCCTAAAAGCTCTACTAGAATTAGTGCTGTCACTCTAACATTGCTATCTTCACTTGCATGAGATACTTCCAATAGGTTCATCATTGCTGGGATGTTTTCTGTCCTGTAAACACAAACCATGATTCGAAGAATATCCAATTCTCCACTTGTATGTTGAATCGAGCTTCTTATTATAGGATGATATTGTTTTGAAGGATCATACAAAATTTTTATAAGCGGTGTAACGATAGCATTTATCGCGATGACAGAAAACACTGCCAAAGAGAACTCTTGTTCGGATAGTAACTGTCATACACAAAAAAAAAATATATGGTATCAAATGAGAGAAATATGAGTGTTGAATTGAAATATAAGAATAAATTTGTACCTTGGATCCCCTCCATAGATTATAAACAAGAAGTTCCGCTACGCCCCGTGAGTTCACAATCAGCCCGATCACGAAACATTCTTTCAAAGGTACATTAGTGTAGTATCCAGAAAGCATAACAGCTCCAGTTTTCACCACAACAGAAACAACCACAAGGAGACACATAATCCACATAGACTTGTAATCAATCTTGAAGAGATTAGTTTTCATTCCGGAAATCGTAAGGTAAATCGGATAAAAGAATGCATAAGTAAATGCCTCTATTTTAGCAATCAAACTTGTTCCTATAGGTGGCCCTTCTGGTAAAACCAATCCTAAAAGCAATGGTCCCATAACATAATGTTGTCCAATAGCTTCACTAAGAAGACCAGTTATAAGAACAAAGACCATGATACAAACAAAGAACCATTCACTCACATGCTTTTCGCTTTTTAGTTTCTTAGAGATCCCTATAAGTAACGGTTTCATTACAAAGATAATCGAAAGAACGAGTGCAGCTAAAGATGAAAAGATAGATATGAAGTTAGTAAAACCACCACTTTTGTTTTGAAGTACTGAAAAGAGAATTATTGCCAATGAAAATCCAACAATGTCAGAAAACATTGCGACCGACATGGCTAATCGGCCAATGTCCGTGTTTAGAATCTTCAGCTCCGTGAGAACGATTGTTACGACCGCAAAAGCAGTAAAGGTGTGGGAAAGAGCTATAAATGGAAGAGATATGGAAAGGCTTTTGTCCATGGGAACATAACGAATCATCAAGAAGGCTAAACTACTTGGAATTAGTAATGTGAACAGGAATACAAAAGCACTTATCATGATGGCCTTTTTTTCAGTCTTCCATAATGTACCAGGATCCATCCTTACACCTACTATGAAGAAGAAGAACATCGCTCCAAATGCTGCTGTTGTTTCAATTACCATTGACCCTTTTGGAGGAAACAATGCATTTGATATCATTATCTTTTTGTGACCAAGAAATGTTGGCCCAAGTAATACTCCACCCTGTTACATGCAACTTTTGTTATTATATGATACTAATAACGACTCTCTCATGTCTATACTCACACACACTCTAGTTTTAAAATAGTTATGTCTATTAAAATAGCATCGACATTCTCCTCGACTTTTTACTGACATTAAAAACTAAGAGTAGTAAAGCAGATCTGGTCCGTTGAGCATGTCTATTTTGCTCGCACTTTAGAGAGGGATAGACCAAGGGTTTAGACCCTCACTCTCTAATGTCGCCCCTGTTCTGTCTCATTTTTTTTAGGCTTTTTGCGAGCGCAGACATTAATATAATTTTATGCATTTTTAAACTTAAAAAGTGTAGTGTCCATTAGTCGGCTCCGCTCTGCTTGCGCTATAGTGTGACATGTCCGTTTGCCACCCTATAAAAACCATATATATATATAAATGATATTTACAACCATATATATAAATGATATTTACTTACGGTTTTTGTTTGTTACTAAAGAATTTTGTTGCATCGTTTTTTTGGACTTTCACAAGACGGACCTAAAAGAGACAGACATGCCCATTTACCACCCTATAAAAAGCATATTTATAAATAATATTTACCTACAAGTTTTGTCTGTTAATAAAAAATTTTGTTGACATATATAAATTTAAGAGGAAGTTAGTGCATATTTTAAAATTAGAGAAGATGTCAGTGTCATTTTAACGAATTTCATAGGACATGTGTATAATTTTTCATAAATAAATAAATAATAATAATAATAATAATAATAATAATTATTATTATTATTATTATTATTATTATTATTATTATTATTATTATTATTATTATTATTATTATTATTATTGAAATATAATGATTGAACTATGAAGCACAAACTCATATAGAGATATTAATTCACACATGTGTTAGAGGTGCCAATGATACATAAACACAAAGATACAAGGAATAAAATGCATATTTCCTCCAGTTTTAATATATATATTGATGAATATATAACATGTTAAGAGAAGAGAAAGCTTACAAGAATCTGAGCTACAATTGATGATTGACCAAGAGGTTGGATACAAAGATAGATAAATTGAGAAACAACGGAAAGCAAAGAATATTGAAGTAAGAAAAGAGAACGTGGGTTATGAAGTGGGTTGGCAGAGTGCCAGATATCATAATTTTCATAATTGCGAGGATTTTGGCACACAAATTTATAGGGTTCTGATTCAAAATTCATATATATGAATGTATGGGAAAAATGGAAGGAATTAGAAGATTACTTTCATGTGTGTTTTTCTTTTCTTTTAGTGTTTTTTTCCCCTAGAAGAAGTAAAAGATGTAAGGTTAAGAGAAAGAAAGGTTTAAAGGTAATGAAATTGATGTAAGGTTAAGAGAAAGAAAGGTTTAAAGGTAATGAAATTGATAGAAGAAAAATGAGAGGGTGGCCTTATATTTTGATATTCGTATTTTTTTAATGGTTTACATTCAAGGTGGCTTTGTTTTACACAAGATTGCAAAGTAGGAGTCTATATTTATATTTTGTACATTTGATTAATTGAGACTATGTACCAATATTCAACTTTCTTGATTTCTTAGAAGAAAAAATTTTCATCCCTAGAAGCCTAGCAATATTACCATGTCTTCTGGGCCGACCAAAGAGCCCAAGAAAGCACGAAGGCCCAATACGGAAAAGGAAAGCAGGACAAGATTAGAACTCAGCCTAATATTAACAAATACCTAAAATTAAATTACTGTCACTATGTTTAATACCCTCTTTCAAATCGGAGCGTATATTGTTCATTTCCAAGTTTGGTAGTGAATGAAAAGAAAGGCCCAGAGCAAAGAGTTTTTGTAAATATATCTATAATCTGTTTTGAAGAGTGGATAGGAATAAGGTGTATGACTTTGGCTTGCACTTTTTCACAAACGATGTGACAATTCATTTTGATGTATTTAGTGCGTTCATGAAAAAAGAGGGTTGTTGGCGATGTGGATGGTAGATTGGTTATCACAATAAATGTTAACGAGTTGAGATTGATGAATGTCGAGATCTTGTAGAAGATTGATGAGTCATTTGGCTTCGCGAGTAGCATTGACTAGTTTGCGGTACTCCGCTTCAAATGAAGATTTGAAAACAATGTGTTGTTTTTTTCCCAACATATGATGGATATTCCAAGATAGAATCACAATGCGGTAGTGGATATTGAGTTGTTACTTGGATCATTTTTCTTGGTAGAAAATATCGCGCAAGGAAATCAACCTTAAGTTCTGCCCAAGATGTTATAGAATTTGCAGACAGAGACTCGAGCCAAGCTCGGGCTCAATCTTGCAATGAGAAAGGGATCCAAGTAACAACTCAATATCCACTACCGCATTGTGATTCTATCTTGGAATATCCATCATATGTTGGGAAAAAAACAACACATTGTTTTCAAATCTTCATTTGAAGCGGAGTACCGCAAACTAGTCAATGCTACTCGCGAAGCCAAATGACTCATCAATCTTCTACAAGATCTCGACATTCATCAATCTCAACTCGTTAACATAATATAATTTTAAACTAGACCCTCACTCTCTAATGTCGCCCCTGTTCTGTCTCATTTTTTTCGGGCTTTTTGCTAGCGCAGACATTAATATAATTTTATGCATTTTTAAACTTAAAAAGTGTAGTGTCCATTAGTCGGCTCCGCTCTGCTTGCGCTATAGTGTGGGACGGGCTAAGGTTTTAAGCCCGCTCCTTAAACTAGGTTTATTTTGCATCGTTTTTTTTTTGACTTTAAACAAGACAGACATGTCCGTTTGCCACCCTATAAAAACCATATATATAAATGATATTTACTTACGGTTTTTGTTTGTTACTAAAGAATTTTGTTGCATCGTTTTTTGGACTTTCACAAGGCGGACCTAAACGAGACAGACATGTCCATTTACCACCCTATAAAAACCATATTTATAAATAATATTTACCTACAGGTTTTGTCTGTTAATAAAAAAATTTGTTGACATATGTAAATTTAAGAGGAAGTTAGTGCATACTTTAAAATTAGAGAAGATGTCAGTGTCATTTTAACAAATTTCATAGGACATGCGTATAATTTTTCATAAATAAATAAATAATAATAATAATAATAATAATTATTATTATTATTATTATTATTATTATTATTATTATTATTATTATTATTATTATTATTATTATTGAAATATAATGATTGAACTATGAAGCACAAACTCATATACAGATATTAATTCACACATGTGTTAGAGGTGCCAATGATACATAAACACAAAGATACAAGGAATAAAATGCATATTTCCTCCAGTTTTAATATATATTGATGAATATAAAACATGTTAAGAGTAGAGAAAGCTTACAAGAATCTGAGCTACAATTGATGATTGACCAAGAGGTTGGATACAAAGATAGATAAATTGAGAAACAACGGAAAGCAAAGAATATTGAAGTAAGAAAAGAGAACGTGGGTTATGAAGTGGGTTGGCAGAGTGCCAGATATCATAATTTTCATAATTGCGAGGATTTTGGCACACAAATTTATAGGGTTCTGATTCAAAATTCATATATATGAATGTATGGGAAAAATGGAAGGAATTAGAAGATTACTTTCATGTGTGTTTTTCTTTTCTTTTAGTGTTTTTTTCCCCTAGAAGAAGTAAAAGATGTAAGGTTAAGAGAAAGAAAGGTTTAAAGGTAATGAAATTGATGTAAGGTTAAGAGAAAGAAAGGTTTAAAGGTAATGAATTTGATAGAAGAAAAATGAGAGGGTGGCCTTATATTTTGATATTCGTATTTTTTTAATGGTTTACATTCAAGGTGGCTTTGTTTTACACAAGATTGCAAAGTAGGAGTCTATATTTATATTTTGTACATTCGATTAATTGACACTATGTACCAATATTCAACTTTCTTGATTTCTTAGAAGAAAAATTTTCATCCCTAGAAGCCTAGCAATATTACCATGTCTTCTGGGCCGACCAAAGAGCCCAAGAAAGCACGAAGGCCCAACACGGAAAAGGAAAGCAGGACAAGATTAGAACTCAGCCTAATATTAACAAATACCTAAAATTAAATTACTGTCACTTTGTTTAATACCCTCTTTCAAATTGGAACGTATATTGTTCATTTCCAAGTTTGGTAGTGAATGAAAAGAAAGGCCCAAAGCAAAGAGTTTTTGTAAATATATCTATAATCTGTTTTGAAGAGTGGATAGGAATAAGGTGTATGACTTTGGCTTGCACTTTTTCACAAACGATGTGACAATTCATTTCGATGTATTTAGTGCGTTCATGAAAAAGCGGGTTGTTGGCGATTGGCGATGTGGATGGCAGATTGGTTATCACAATAAATGTTAACGAGTTGAGATTGATGAATGTCGAGATCTTGTAGAAGATTGATGAGTCATTTGGCTTCGCGAGTAGCATTGACTAGTTTGCGGTACTCCGCTTCAAATGAAGATTTGGAAACAATGTGTTGTTTTTTTCCCAACATATGATGGATATTCCAAGATAGAATCACAATGCGGTAGTGGATATTGAGTTGTTACTTGGATCATTTTTCTTGGTAGAAAATATCGCGCAAGGAAATCAACCTTAAGTTCTGCCCAAGATGTTATAGAATTTGCAGACAGAGACTCGAGCCAAGCCTGGGCTCGATCTTGCAATGAGAAAGGGAACAATCTAAGGAGGGTGGTTTTTTATCAACACCATTGGCCTTTAAAGTTCAAAATTTGTCAACAAAAATAAACAGATGGAGATTCGAGTTTTCCAAAGGCAACCCTGAGAATTGATCCTGCTAAATCATGCATATCAATAAAGGCTTAAGTTCAAAATCATTGACCGTTATGGACGAATGCAGAATGATACTATGTAGTTCCACATCGGTTGGAATCATGTATTCCTTGAGTGGTTTGGTATCTAATTCCTAAGCCATTTGTTACAAAGCTAAGAGGCGGTGTTTTTGCTGTTAAAAATGCTCGATCTTATTAATCGGTTCAACCAAATTTCCAGTCGAACGAGTCCTTCGCATACAAAACAAAAAAACAAGAGTGTTTTACTTTAGTCTAGACTTTGTTGGAAAAAAAATTTGATATCAAAATTATCTCTTTGGCAACGGCGCCAAAAACTCGACGTTGTCAAATCGCAAGTTCACGGTAATGCCAAGTAGTATAATAAGACCGAACTCACAATGATATGTTATATGAGTACTAAATTTTATCCTAACGGTGTTTAGCTAAAGCGATCGCAATAGTGGTTGGTTTAGTGCAAAGTGAAATGAAACTAACAAATAAATAAAACATGACATGAGGTTGTGATCATCTATGAAGACTCACCCTATTGATCATTCATATTTGAACACGGGAATGTCTACGCGGTTTTACAGAAAAGTAGATAAATGTGTGTGACACCCCCTTTCGTGGCGTGTACATCTATATGTGTTTCTCGGTACGTCTAAGTGACATTCTCAATAGAAAGCGACTTGCCTTGTCACGATGGGCGCCTCGTTATTCTATTGTCTAGAAATCCACGGTCCGACATCGATGCATATCCTTTCGGTCTATGATTGTGTTTGGGTTATCTTTGCTTTCGCAACCGACACAAATATTTGTAAGGACTCAGATTCTAAAATAAAAACACGCTTATTATTCATGTAATTCAACTTTGAATAAATTAATTAGGGGTCATTATGAGATAGACTCACTCAAGCTGAGGTAAAGAACAACTAAACAATGGTAATGCATTGTGTGCAAATAAATAAAGTAAATCAATGTAAAATAACTTGAATTGAAGGCAAGCTTGATTTAAAGAAAAGAAAACCAAAGAGTATAGCAAATTTTATAGAGGAATACAAGATGAAAGAAACATAGAGAAGTTGCAATTATAAAGCAAGTAACAAGTAACAAATGAAAATGGTAAGTGGGAGATGATGCCCATTTCTTAAAGATAACACTAAGCTTCTTGCTCATATTACAAAAGAGGAGATGCATGAGGCTTTGTTCCATATTCACCTTGATAAATCTCCAGGTCCAGATGGGTTAAACCCGGCGTTCTACCAACACTTTTGGGATTTGTGTGGTGAGGATATTTTTAACGCGGTGACTCATTGGTTAGAAAGATGCTTATCTCCATCCACCCTTAATGAAACAAATATTTGTCTTATCTCTAAGTGTGAGAACCCAAAAAAGATGAAGGATTTACAACCTATATCTTTGTGTAATGTTG